AACTGTGTGTGGTCAATTACTGGTCTTTAAATTTCAAATAAATAGGTTTTTGTCACTCCTACTGACTTAATTTTCAAAGTAAGGTAAACACTGCTGGTCAATGCTTACTAAGAACTAAGGATCAGGTTGGTACTGGGCCCAGCTTGCCCCTGGCAAATACTTCCTGCAGTAAACTGAGGGGAGGGAAGGGTGTGAAAGAAAGTAACTTGTTGGTAACCTATATGAGGAAAGAAGGAAATCCCAAAAGCTAAAACGTGTGAGTTGCAATTTAGAAAGCGGTGATATACAGAGGTCTGTACGACAGTTCTGGCTACTTTGACTTTGTGTTCTCTGTGTTACTTACAATGAAAGTTAAACTTTATTCAGGTCTGTTTGCCTCAGGTTCTGAAGAGTGTTTAGGTAGCTAGCAAAATTTCATCAAAGAATTGACCATTGTAAAATTAGCAGAAACTGTCGCATGTGGGGAAGAAGAATTTTTTTTTTCTAGTTTTATAAGAAATGTACGCATTGTCTGGGAAATGAAATCGGTACTACTGGGAATGAAAATAAACATACAAATTTTGAAGGAGCTGTCAGTTGATTTTTTTTTTTTTTGGCAGCTTGAGCACATTTGTGAAAGGGATGATTTGCTCAGGAGATGCTGGAACAGGATGTTCCTTGTACCTTCATCGTTTCAGTTTGTTTTCAAGTGACAGTCATGCAAGTGACCTCTAATAGTGCTATATTTTTTTCCTCCTCAAGATGCCAGGTTCTCATTTACACTGGTAGGAATGCCTGAGAGTGTAACATAGAAAGGTTTTCTTGAGTAATGTTGATAAAAGTACTGTCCTTTTTAACAGTAGTATCTTTGCTTTGAAGCAGAAGTTTGTGTGGTCAAGAGTTAACTGCAGTTAACCAAGAATGGTTTGTCAGCAGTAAAAGTAAACTGTTCTAAGTGGCTATGTGACTTGTCTGATGGGAGTGTTAGGAACATACAAGGTTTGGGGGACCATGTAGTTTACAAACAGTGTGACCTGTGCTGCTGCATTGTATGAACAAGGTGTCTGGACAAGTCCTACAAAGCTGGTGTTCCCCTTAAGTTCTCACCAGCCCATCTCTTCCCACCATCCCCCAGCTTCCTCTTTTCATCTTTCATGGTCCTTTTTGGGCATTCTTGAATAAAAATTGATGTCTAGTGCATTTGGTGGAGTTAGTCACAATGCTTTTATGAGGTATGCTACAGTAATAAAACCTAAGATGGCTGCATTTCCATCTCTATTTGATTTATTTAATAAATATTTTTTCACTAGAACCTGGTGCTGAGTGTCGCTTCATTTATAGGCCTCTACCTCACTCCTGTTACAACCATGCTTCTGACTCCCATAAGATAAAAATGTAGTGGGTGTATTTTGGGACAAATAGCTGTTAAAACAGGCAAACTAATCTTGAAGTTGTTTTGCCCTTTCTTCAAAGTTTGTTACTCCAGTTACTAAAGCTAGATTGTAAGCCTTGAGCAGGACAGTGTGAACTTTAGTTTTCTGTAAAAAGCCAAGCCTGTTGAATAAAACCAAAATGTGAAGCTGAAGCTGCACTTCAGTGCAGTGCTGTTGGTGGTCATTCAAAGTGTGTGGCGTGTTCTAGCATTATAGCATGTCTCTTCCATGAGGGCTTACTGGTGGTATGCCTGAATGTGAATGTTCAGCCTGATGTGTTACAAGTGGTGCTTAGGGTACTGTATTCTAATAAAGGGTGGTTCATCTGTGTTCAGTTTTGATTAATGCTTCTGTATAAAAGGTATGGATCTAGGAGCAGCTAGTAGCTAATGCTGCTCTGTCGTTGTGTGTTGCAGTACTGGGGAAGGTAATCCATGTTTTATGATTCCCTCGCCGCCCATGTTTTTTGTTTGTACTTAATCTTTTTTCTAACCTCTTGTGGATAACCTCTTTTCATTATTAATTCAACAAAAAAGTTCACTTCCTGTGTTACAGACTAGTTTTAGCATGGGAACAGCATTGCAGTGAGAACACCGACAGTGGTATTTCCAATTTTTGGTGTTGTATTAAGAGCTTTGACTTTTGTGTTCTCTGTGTTACTTACAATGGAAATTAATTTTTTTTCAGGTCTGTTTGCTTCAGGTTCTGAAAAGTGTTTAAGGAACTAGAAAAGTTCCATCAAAGAATTAACTACAAACCTCTGCTTTGCAGTTGTATAGTGGTATAACAAGTTCCATAAAAAAAGTTTCTCATTGTTCTTGCTTCAGGCTGATGGATATTTTTTCCATGTTAGTATCTAGTAAAGTAGGATACAGTCCTAACAGCTTTTTCACTAGACATTGGCTCCAGGGTGTGATACCACATCCTGTCTCATACAACATAGTTCCTGGTTTGGACACTGGATTTCGGTTTCTTGAAGGTTACAGTCTTGACACTGAACTAGTGCCGACAGACTTCAGTCGGGGGGGGCTTCTGTCTCTTAAAACCATTTCAGTTTTAAGTTTTCTTTAACAATGCTGGTTTGAATAGCTACCTGACTCCTGTGCAGTGTGTCCTTTTTGTATACAGGTTGGAAACACAGTATAAACCCATTGTATGAAGTAAATTAAAAGGGAGCCCTTGTCGTGGAAGGAAAGCCAGGAATTACCAATGTTTTTTAGGTGAAACAATGGCAGTTGATTGAAAAAGCATGACCTTGTTCTGAATTCTGCTTACAGTTTTCTCTCTGGGAAGGTAGCTGAAAGTTTGAGAAAACGTCATGGCGCATTCAGGCGTACAGCTCAGTGCCTGTGTCGTCGGTGCTGTTGTAACTCTCTGCAGTGTTAACTTGCCTGAGATATTGTAGGGGTATAGTGGCTAGTTGAGTTCTCAGAAGTTGAGATTCATGCATAAACTTTTAAATGTAGTTGTTGAGCAATGAGAGTGGAATGAGCTGAGGGCAGTTCATGTTGCCTGCACATTGCACATGGGAAGTAACGGGTTGGGGTTGAGGTAAGGGAATTGGGGTTCATGTCTTTATATGGGTCATCTGGAGTATGCTGCTTGCTTATTAGGATTGTGGTCTGAAGGAGTTGCAGTGTGCTTCCTTGTTTTCAGCATGTGTCGATGTCCAGCTGTTTAGCTGTTACCGAGTTGGGTGTAGGCTTTTCTTTCTAATCCCTTCCCGTGTAGGACTCTAGGAACTTGTGTATTGCAAGGTCCTAAAACAGAAAATACTTGGGCTTCTAGTTCTTACAGTTATGGGCTCAACCTGTTACCTGTCAAATTTTGTGCACATGGGCCATGAACTAAAGACCTTAAACATACTTCTACCCTTTGGATCTAGAAATAAAGTTCACAATTCATCATATATATCTGCTGTTACATGTTTTGGTTGATGTTCATGAACTAGCAGTTAGATAAATTCCTTGTCGATACCAGGTAGGATAGATAAGCTTCACACTAATGCTTTAACCAGTAACAAAATTTCAGGGTCTGAAAGTTTCTGCTGTGAATTTACCCTATTAGTTCATGGTGGTGGCAAAACTGATAAATTGAAGAACAGATACATTTGTTCAAATAAATTTTTTAATATAAAACGCAGAGCAAAACGTACAAAGTGGCTGATTCATTATCGATGAGCAATAGTGCATTTTGCGCTCGAGGCAGTGCTCCCTTTTTAGGAAGTACCACTTGATGCTACTGCTTAACATGATTTACATGCTAATGGTATAGTTTATTTCTTTAAAACATTTAATTCGGAATTTAAACTTGTGTGTATGTGTAGTTTTTATGTGTTTGGTGCAGTATTTTATACTTGACTATGAAGTTGCTACGTTGTCATCATGGTGTGACCAATGAGGGTTTTTCTAGTATACCAGGTTTATGGGCTGTTTACAAAAAGGTACAAAAAGTATTTGTTGCTATCCAGTTGTTAGTAATTAAAAAATCTTACTAATATACCTCAACATTCCTTCTTTATCATTCATTACATGCCTTTTAGGCCATCTTTGTAGACCCTATTCAGGTTGTAAAATAGAAAAGGGTAAATTGTTGAATAATCATGAGTGAATAAAATGTCTTTTTCATAGTGCAAATAAGTATCAAACCCAAAAGCTCTCTTCATTCAGAGCCACTATTGGAGTGCAACCTCATTATCACAAGTACAGAAAAATAGTTGTTTGGTTCAATTTAATTTACTTTAAAGATTCGGAGGAAACTAAAAAATATATATATATATAAAAATAAAATTAAAAATTACCAGTTTTAAAAAGCTAACAACCTTCAATATTTCTCCTAGAGGAAGGTATTCAAATAGGGGTAGGAAAGTACATGAGTAAATACATCATGGACTAGGAAACAGAACAGGAACTCATTCACCATCACTCATTTTCACTGAAGAAAGTAGACAGTGTTTCAGTTGCAGAGGCTGAAGGTAAGGCAATAGTGAATCAGATTATTTTGCAGATTGACCTTGTGAGTTGTAAAATTAAATGGGTACATTATGTTTGCCTGGAGCTATGGAGGTGAAAGTAGTGAGGAAAAACACAACAGCCTCCTGGGCCTCTTTCCTTAAAGGAAAACTGGGAAAGCAGAACCGTTCTGAGCAAGTGCAAAGCACAGAGTATCTCTTAGGAATACCTAAGTCCACAGTGAATTTTAAGATGAATTTGAGCTACAATTTTTCTTAACAAAGAATAAAAAAGTAAGGTCACTTTGAACTATAACTAAGAATCAAGTACACAACAATCATGTTTTTCTTCCATGTGTAATTTTGATCTAAAGCTGGCTTTTTTTCCCCCTAGAAACCAAATTCCTAGTTTTATATATGTCTGTATAACTACAGTTACACTGATGGCCTAGCTCCTTCAATTTAATTAAAACTGAACAGATTTCCTCATATAGACGCATCAGCTGGTAGACATTCTAGCAGGTCACTGTTGCCAGACCCTTGAACGTTCTTGCTCCTTAAATGTATTTTTTTCTGTTTGTACTGCTGTAGTCACTGACCTGAGGCCGTCACACAAATACCCCTCTTTCAGGAAAAATAAAGTCATCTTTGGCCATCTTTTTGTTTCTGCTCTTTTTCATTATCTTGTTTCTGCTCAGATTTAACCAGCTGTTTGGGTATTACGAAAACACTGCCATCGCTACTGCAATGAATGACATATTGGCATGGGTTAAAAGGTCTACCCTGGTCATCCTTCAGTCTACTGAAGATGTCATGGTACAAGTTGTTTAACTTCTGCTTCATCTGGCTGATTGATCTGCTACACTGAGAGTGTTCCTTTTTAAGGCTCTCCTTTTGTGTTTGAAGATTACACACATCTTCTTCCAAATTAAGAATAGCATTCATTTTGCGTTTCCGACAGTTTTGGGCGGCGACCTTGTTTTTTCCTCTCCGTCTGATGTCACGAAGAAGTGATACCTGAGTATCTGTCAGATGATTCTTTGTGATCATGGCATTGAAAGAGTCTACAGGCATGCTCACAATTTCATCAACTGAAAATGGTAGTCTCAGAGCTTTTGCACGGTATTCATCACTGGTAAGTTTTGTATCAGTAGAATTATAGCACCTACCCTTTACTTCATTGGGTTTCTTCATCCATATCTGTTGATGCACTGGAGCGGGTGCTGCTTGACTTGGCAGCTGATTATAAGTGTAGTTATGAAGAAACTGCTGAAGTGTAGTTTCTCTAGAACACTCTGCGTCACCTGGATATTCCACATGCCCGTAATTAGCGTATTCTTGGCAGTGGCCTCCAACAGTCCCTAACCCAAGCAAGGAAGCAGATTTCACACCATTACTGTACTCAACAGCACCTTCACTGCTGACTGCATAAGAGACGGTGCTGTGACTTGGGTTCAAAGACAATCCTGAATCTGAGCCAGGTTCTTCAAATTGCTGAGAAACTTCTATGGTATTAAAGCCATTCTCCAAAGCCAAAGACATGAGTTTAATTTCATCAAAATTATCATCATGGGCCATTAAGTTTCTAATGTCAGCAGCTGAAAGCAACGCTGTCAAATTTGACCCATGAAGTGACTCTGGATTTGTGATACTATAACTTGACTGAGAAAAAGACTCTTGACTTTGTAAATGTCTTGTTTCTGAACTTGTGTGAGTGGAGTAGTCTGTTCTTAGTAGCATGGCATCGTGAGGACTGAAACGATGAAGTGTCTCTGTCGAACTTACATTTTGGTGTGAGGATGATGGGTCTTGACCTCTGTTAGAAGTAGCAACTTGTATGTCTTCCAGTAACCTCACCTAAAAGATGGAGGGGAAAATCACAACCTTTTACAAAATGAATGCTTCTACATCCAACACCTACAGTCTTAAACAACTTGGGTTTTAATATTCCACTATTTGACTCAAAGTAAAAATTTTGTATGTTAAAGTCTTCTTTTAGCTATCTTGAATACTGCTTCCCATTTCTACAAAGCATAACCTGTGTTAGCATATGACAGCTGGAAGGATGCAGAAGAAAATTGACTGAAGGGATGGGAGAACTCGTGAAGGACGGTGTGGGACTGGTGAGTGTTGAGAAGTAGAAATGGCACTGTTGCCAAGTGTTCATCAAACTACAGCCTACAAGCTTTATCAGGTCTGGTCTAAGAAAAAGCCCTTCTGAGAGGAGCAGACCCTTTCCTGGTAGTAGTAATGACAATCATCAGTTTCCAGGGTGAGCTGGTTCAAGGTGCTAAACTGTCAGAAGATTAACCCTGTAAAGAAGATAAATAACTCACCTGTGGGACTTGACTTAGCCAGTGAGAATAATGGTGTAAGAAAAGAGAGGAGTAGGACAGGAATGTTAAAAATCATGTTGTCACAGTCTCACTGCTTTTCTTTCACAGTTCATAAAGCTTTTGAGGCAGTGAGCTGCCACATTTGACTTTTAGCCCCTTCTTAACTGAGGTTTACTGTGTCTACATTTCAAGTCAACTCCTTTACTAAGCAATTTGGAGGAAATGTGTGTGTGTTGTCCCCAGATCACACCTTCTGTAGGTGTCTTCTAACTTTAAATTACTACTCAATTTTTTTCTTTACAAAAATAAAGCTTCTGTATGTTCTCTCAGACCTGAGGTCCAGATGATAAACGAGTCCTGCAGCAGCATTAAGACCCACTTTCTGTGGGCCTGGGTTTTATGGTTGCTGAGTCCTAGAAGTACAAAGCCACTACCAAAGATTATGTCAGGGCAGTTGCTGACAAGCAGAGTAGTCATAAAATAGATGATACAAAACCCCTTAAGAATGTAAATACATCAAGTAGGAAGTGTATGACAGGATTCCTCCATAGCTGAGCATCCCTATTGTGGTGCAGGAAAGGACTTTTCTGACTGCTGTTCATTGAACAGAGAATGTGAAAAGCACTTTCCACAGGGAAGGAATGATGTACCAATTAAGGCCAGAACGTCTCGAGTTCTCTGTTTACTGGAAGCTCAGATAACAGAAGAAAGTCTTGTTTTACTCTTCCTAGGGAGTTACCTTGTACTAGACTACCAGTAGTCTGTGAGATTGAGCTGGTATTTTCAATTAAGCTCTTGAAAATAAATGAATATTCTTAGCAAGCTTAACTATAGAAAAACTATACCACACTGCAAGGACTTGCTACCTGGAAGAAACAAGCAATCCATTTTCAACAGATAGGTTGTCACAAGATGGCAGTGCATTAATAGTCTTAAAATAAAATTACAACCGAAATTTACAGCTACACAAAGGCTACAGCCGAATTCCTTTCAAGTTATGAAAAGAACAGATAAAACTAAACTGACAAACTTCTGAACCTTGTTAGTGTGCAATCCAGTACCAAAGCTAAACAGAGAAGGAGGCTAATTTATGGACTAGGAGGCACTATCCAACCTAGAGATGCCCCCAAACAAGGTGTTTTAAAGATAAGCATGAACTTAACATGGAAAACACTAATGACACTGGAAGGCTCCTACAATGGGAAGCATATGTAAGATGCCCTTGGAGTACTGCAAGAAAGGAATGTAGGGAGTAGCTTTATGGTTAATGGTTGCAGCTATGAGCTGTGGGAGAGCAGAGAGACTCCCAATTAAGATAACTGGGTTTTGTGAAGATGGGAACCCAGAGAGCAAACAATAGTATCAGAAGCCCAGACGATAAAGAAAACAATGGGTTTGCTCCTAATGCTGACTGACCTGATCTGCAGCGAAGATGGATCTGTTCTGGAGAGCAGAATCCTTGTAAGCACCCGACCCAACATTTATGACAATTGTAATCTTTCACCACAAATGCTTAATAGCTGCTAGTGCTTAATAACTCAGTGTTGCTCTACTGAGTTACTCTATCAATGTGAATTGGGATTAGGTTTCAGAAGGGGAATTATTAGTTCTACTAATTATGTTGCCCAGGGGCTCCATCCAACTTTGAGCGCCAGGTCACAGCAAAGACAGGAACTTACAGTTTTCATATCCCAAACAAGTTAATGAGGAAAATTTTTCAAGCAGAACTGCTGCAAAAGGTGTCTTTAATGTCTTCAGGTAAGTTTAACTATGTTGATTTGCTGATACATTCCCTGGGGTGGGAGATTACTGGATAAAACAGAGTAAGTCATTATTCAGTAATCACTAACTGTATTCCAATCTATTAGCAATACATGTGCTTTCTCATTTACCTCTAGCATGTTTTCCATCTGCGAAGACAGAAGCTGTAAATAGCTCTCTAATGAGAGAAGGGAATCTACATGGTTGTGGTTGCTCTGTGAGAGAAGAAACAAACACTTCATGAAGCACAGTTATTTTACATAAAAGGAGGTAAAAATCCAAGTCTGTGAGGAAATAGAGCACAGCTCTGTAAAATACTGCTGCTGACCCCTGCCATCAAGTCTTTGTCCTGATGGGACAACGTCATGTTGCTAGAACAAGCAGAACAACTCCATGGCAGGAGCATCCGTACTCCGCCCCACAACAGCAGAACTGGGCTTCCCTGCTCTTCAAGGCTGCACTTACCCACCACTTTGGAAAAATCAAGTATTGTTTCAAAGCCTATCTGCCAGGGCAGCGGTGAGCAGAGGCGCTGGCAAGAAACCTGGATCCGATGTTCTCTGCTCTTACAACATCTCAAGAAGACAGAATGGTCTTTTCATTGCAGCTCTCAGAGAGAACAAAACCCAAAGTGCAGACGTTTCCGTTTAACATTATTATTTCTCCACCTTGTAATTACAATACATGTTAAGATCTGAACAATCCATTTTCCCAAATGTAATTCTACATCTGTGCATCAATCTTTACATGAATGGTGAAAACAGTGTAATTTAGCATCCACACCTCTAGTGTCTGTAGGTCCCAAAAAAAATCCTTGCCCACGAATGTACCACCTTCACGATGGAGAAACTAAAACCAAATTGACAAATGGTTTGTTGCGAGCGATTTCTGTAAAATGTAGAACATTTCAACTACATAAACTGCACTGGGGAGGAGGAGGGCAGGTTTTGAAAAGCTGTACAGGGGCATCATACACAAAGTGTTGTCTGAAGTCACTGCTCCTTTCCTGACCTTGCAAGGGACATTCCAAACGAAAAGAGGAAATCAAATGCTCCTTTCAAAACCATGCGCTGTTTCTGTCACTACTCTATCTCAGTAACAAGACGTAAATCCTCCCTCACATCCTCCTCACACTTTTCCCTTCCATTTTTTTCATCATTTACTTGATTTATATCTTCTTCCTCCTTTTGCAGTTGCAGCTGACCATCTCCTTGATGTGGACAGCAGTCATCCAAAACTTCTTGGCATACTTTCAGGTCAACATCCTGAAGACACAAATAAAACAGTTCCATGAAGCAGAATGCTGTCAAAATTAATCTTTAAAATGCACTATTTCCACAACTGCAGCATTTCAAATGAGATACACACTGCACCATTCATTCATGTGGATGAACTGACTCTGTGTAGACTCGGAGGGCAAAATGAGACAACGGCAGTTCAGGAGCGTAGTCACTGCCTTTCTGTCAGTGCCCAGGTACTGAACCCATCTGCAGTATAAATGGATGCTCATAAACACTGGAAACGAATTCTTCTCAAACAGACACATGATGATGTGATTTCATTGAAAGTTTGGGCTATCAGTGTCTTTTGGATGTCATTTCACAATGAATCCAAGCCAATGTAGCCATTTGCAATCATGACTGTTCCCTGTAGTGTACCAAAGGGAACATACCATCTCTGCTGAATGAGCTTAACAGTGCTGCAGTGTATGGCTTTGAAGATTAGTCTAACTACTAGTACCATTTCTTCTTCCAGCAGATGATGTTAAAATATGCTCATTCCTGCTCACACCGATTGCTACTGCAGTAAGTTATCCACCCTTTAAAAATCCTGTTTCCCCCACTACCATGGTGGTTTCTGAAGGAGCATGGCCCTCTGACCAGCTTTTCACAACAGTGGTGGTACAGGTACAGTGCATGTAAGATTGTTCACAGCACCCATTTCTACATATGGGATCATTTCAGTGAAATACTGGACGATGCTTTTAAAGATTTACTCTTGACATTACACTTCCCAACAGCTTGTTACTCTTTCCCAGTGATGAAGAGCAGCTGAAAAATACTGCTAAACAACAAAATGCTTCTTCCCATGCCCGCACATCATTTGGGATCGATTGCTAGGCTACTTCTAAGGAAAGAATAGGAGGGGCACCTCCCCCAGAATCAGACATATCATAGTTTTGAATAAGGCATTTCTTTAAAGATAGCTTAATTTTGCAGTCTGAATACACATCTAATGACAAAAGGGATTAGGTATAAATACTGCTTACTCAGTACTGTGCTGCCACTTTTAGTGTTTCTGTCTTGTTGCTTATTTTGCATTAATGGTAGCAGAAGAAACAGTAGTTGACTTCTAGTAATACCACTGTGGGCCCAAGAGCTAGATCAGCACCACATGTGGTTTGTCCCTGTACAGAGGAAAAAACTGACTTTTGCTGATTGTAGAAGACTTAGTATCACCAAACCCCTTTATTTCAGCAGCCTTTTCACTACTACCACTGGAGGGTGTGGAAGTTCACACCTCCCACAGCAGGCTGTTTCCAGGTAAACTGCAACCCTATCTGAAAACAACCTTCAATTTGCATTTGGAAAGATGTCTGTGCAAGCACAAGGCAGAACATTTACACTAAAGCTCCCTCAAAAACATAGCAAAAAAATAAAAGGCATCTCAAATTCTATTCTTGCTTCCGCCATTTACCAGTTTCAGTTGGATGAGAGAACGCAATCTGAGGCTAAGCCTGATTTACCAAATTATTCATCAGCCTTGTAGGCTGAAGAGATGAGCTCTAACCGAGTAGCATCTGCCCTTTCCCTAAGGTACAACTTATCACAGGTCAACTATCAGCTTCCATTTGGAATATGAAAAATAGTAATCTATGCTAACTCTGCTCCTTAAAGTGGTCCAAGAATCAATGTGGAGGTGAGAGAAAGTATGATTCTGTGGGTGGCCTGACGTACACCTCATTGGAAGGATGCTGCCAGCTCTGGCAGGTTTCCAGATTTTCTTACTACATTAAAAACAGAGCCTTCAGTTTCCAATTAAGTACAATGATCTCAACATTAACTGAATGCACATACATCAAACTATCCCTCAGCATATCTCCTTTTGCTTCGCACACCCACCTATTATTTGTTGTCCATAAATGAATGTGCAGGGAGCAGAACCTGTAATGATATTCAAGTATGAATAGATCTACCATGATGCATTGGATGGGTGAACAAGACCCCTCTCTAGGAGCAGCAGAAAGCATAAGCAAGCTGTTTTCAGCTACTGATCAGTGTGCAGTTAGCAAACAGGGCTGCAATCACATAGCTACATGTGTACAGAAATATCTGAACTAGGTCTGGAGTAACAGAAACGTCTTGCCACAACAGAACAGAGCAGACAGGGTGGTTTCCTTGGGTGTACAGACAGCATCAAGGAACAGGAGGTACCTGCCCCAGGAAAGCTGTTTCGCTGCACTAAGACTCTGATTTATCTCTACAAATACCCCAGTGATAACCACCATTATTTGCAAAAGGACACGTTTGTGCTGATTTGTGTTTGTGCATCCTGCTCACATGCTGTGTTCTAATCCTCTGTATTGCATTCTCCTTATCTTAGCTGTCAAGCTTTAAATTGCTCCATTACTGTCATTAACCTTTGAGATGCTTCTCTGCAAACTTGTGTCCCTTTCTCCTCTACTAACTGGACTTCTCTGTAGAACTGACCCTTTCCTTGCTGCTACCTGAAAAGATGCAGCACACACGTGGTGATCTTTGCCATAGTTTGACTAATTAAGCACCATTTCCAGAAAATTGTCCCACACCAGCAGAAGTTAGGCAAAAGAAATACAGCTTCTTGTAATATAACCAGTAGTTTCACTTTACTACTTTGTAGGATTAAATACAATTAATAATTAAATTTAAAGGTGCAGACCTGTTATAGCTCTAAGGCTACTGATGTTGCTCTTTGCCTGTTTACTTAAAACATGTGATGATAATTAATCTTACCAATTGATACCTACTTAATTTCAGCTAAAAAGCAAAATGTTTCTTGTTTTTTCTCTATATTCATAATGAGCCCTAGAATATCCTGAAAACATAGGAACAGAAGAATACTTCACTGTTTGAAACGCAGCCAGGGTTTAGAAAGCATGGAGAGTGGAATGGCAGATGGAAACACCAAACAGCAAAGTAACTTTTATGTTATATATGGCTAGGCTAAAAAATTACAACAAACTATTCTAACCAAACAATCACAGAATCCTAAGGGTTGGAAGGGACCTCAAAAGTTCATCTAGTCCAACCCTCCTGCAAGAGCAGGGTAACCTAGAGTACATCACACAGGAACTTGTCCAGGCGGGCCTTGAATATCTCCAACGTAGGAGACTCCACAACCTCCCTGGGCAACTTGTTCCAGTGCTCTGTCACTCTCACAGTAAAGAAATTTTTCCTGATGTTCACATGGAACCTCCTATGCTCCAGTTTACACCCATTGCCCCTTGTCCTATCACTGGACATCACTGAAAAACACCTAGCTCCATCATCCTGACACTCACCCTTTACATATTTGTAAACATTGATGAGGTCACCCCTCAGTCTCCTCTCCTCCAAGCTAAAGAGTCCCAGCTCCCTCAGCCTCTCCTCATAAGGGAGATGCTCCATTCCCTTAATCATCTTCGTTGCCCTGCGCTGGACTCTCTCCAGCAGGTCCCTGTCCTTCTTGAACTGAGGGGCCCAGAACTGGACACAATATTCCAGATGGGGTCTCACCAGGGCAGAGTAGAGGGGAAGAAGGACCTCTCTCGACCTACTAACCACCGCCCTTCTAATACACCCCAGGATGCCATTGGCCTTCTTGGCCACAAGGGCACAGTGTTGGCTCATGGTCACCCTCCTACCCACCAGGACCCCCAGGTCCCTTTCCCCTTCACTACTGTCCAGCAGGTCAGCCCCCAACCTGTACTGGTACATGGGGTTGTTCTTCCCCAGATGCAAGACTCTACACTTGCCCTTGTTGAATTTCATCAAGTTTCTCCCCGCCCAACTCTCCAGCCTGTCCAGGTCTTGCTGGATGGCAGCACAGCCTTCTGGCGTGTCAGCCACTCCTCCCAGTTCAGTATCATCAGCAAACTTGCTGATAGTACACTCAGTTCCCTCATCCAGGTCGTTGATGAAAATATTAAACAGCACTGGTCCCAGCACCGACCCCTGAGGGACTCCACTAGTCACAGACCTCCAGCTAGATTCTGCCCCATTGACCACAACTCTCTGCCTTCTTCCTTCCAACCAGTTCTTGATCCACCTCACTACCTGATCATCAAGCCCACACTTCCTTAGCTTATCTATGAGGATGCTGTGGGAGACAGTATCAAATGCCTTACTGAAATCAAGAAAAACCACATCTACCCCTCTACCATCATCCATCCACCTAGTTACTTGCTCATAGAAGGCTATAAGGTTGGTCAAACATGACTTCCCCTTGGTAAAGCCATGTTGGCTGCTCTTAATGACCCCCTCATCCTTGATATGCCTAGAGAAAACAATGCAATTGAGTAAATCAAATGGTACATAACTGTGACTCCAAATGTGGCACCTGTCAAATGCCTATGACACATCTATTCTAAATCTTAGTAATACCATCTGGGCTGCAACCAAATGCACGCTGTTATAGGCATTCCACTTGTTGCAGTGAGTTGTTAGCACCTCTCTAACAACATGCATTTCGGAAACGAAAGTGCTAGGGCTTTACATAGCATGGCTCACCTACATCAGCTATCAGAAAACACACACACTCCGTGCGCTCTACATGTTCAGCATAAACACAGAATTTACACCAACCTACTCCCCAAATGGAGCCAGAGATGTATAAGTTGAAGGCACAGACACAAATAGTATCGCTGTTAATTTCAATGAAGACATCAGTTTTCATGCTGAAGACAGCTCAACATCCCCTTTAAAATGAACTTTAAGAACTGCTTCTAAAAGATAAAAAAAACAGTTTTACACTCTGTGAATTTGGTCCTGTGCAGTTGTTTTGCACCAGGAACTGATTTTATCCTAAAGGATACAACATCTCTCACAGTGAATATGATGAAAGTTATTAGATTTATTCAGTCACTCTCTCAGATTAAGTACAGTTTAAAAAAAGCCTCTGCTGTCCCAAGATGCTTTCTATTGTGGTCAATGAACTACGTGACATTGGAGTTCTGTAAGAGACTCTCTTCTTTCTTTCTCTCTCTCTCTCCACCTTTACCCAGGCTAGATTGGTACTGTATCCTCATTGGTATGACACAGTCACCACTGAATAAATATAGAAGTATGAAGGGACCACCTTTTCTGATAAAACTTTATCCACAACTTAATTCCAGCTATCTTCCTTTTGAGCCTTCCAGGGCAAACTTACTTTCTCAGTTATCCAGCTCCCAACTTTCTCAAGCTATCAGCTTCACAGCA